AACAATAGTTATTAATGTCATACCCACCAAATGTAATGACATCACTATTAGGCCCACGAGCAAGTCTCAAAAGTGTTTCGAAGCATTAATCTCAACATATACCCTTTTTTTAAACCAAGAAAGGAAACTTTTGTTATGTTCATTCAATACCCATTTTTCATTTATTCGTGGATGTGTTGCCTTTATTTCAGCTTATGTGTTGTGATATGTAAGAGATTACTTCATCGGTGTTGTTCAATATATATAAATGTGCTTGGTCAACTTCTTTCCGACTAACATTTTTAATCTTCAAATTTCGAGTACCCTTACCTTCACATCTTCCATCATGTCTCATCTTAGGAATACCTATTGGTTCCGATTTTGACATGTATCCTTGACAAAACTCAATGGCTTCTTCTGCAATGTACCTTTCCACAATAGAAACTTCGGCCTGTACTCGATTCTTCACATATCCTTTTAAGATCTTCATGTATCTCTCAACAGGATACATCCATCTAAGAAAAATTGGACCACATAACCGAATTTCCCTTACCAAATGGACTATCAAATGCACCATGATATCAAAAAATGAAGGGGGAAAATACATTTCTAATCGGCACACTATTATAATTGCTTCATTTTCTAATTCATCTAACTTTTTTGGATCAATTACCTTTTTACAAATGGCGTTGAAAAACAAACATAACCGAGTAATAGCAATTCTAACGAAGTTGGTAAGATGTTTCGAATAGCCACTGGTAAAAGTTGTTGCATCAACACATGACAATCATGAGACTTTAAACCAACTAATTTCAACTCTTGCATAGACACAAGACTCTTAACATTTGAGGAGTATCCTTGTGGCACTTTGACCTCACGTAAACACTCATAAAAGCTTCTCTTTTCTTTCTTTGATAGAGTATGACAAGTCTGGAGGTAAGTAAGTGCATTTTTCAACCGATTGTGGATGTAATTCGAACGTATACCCATGTCTCGCCAAATCTTGTCTTGCTTTTATTCCATCTTTTGTCTTTCCTTTTATGTTAAGCATTGTCCCAATTATACTATCACAAACATTTTTTTCAACATGCATCACATCTATACAGTGTCTAACTTCCAACTTACACCAATAAGGAAGATTGAAGAATATAGATTGTTTCTTTCAAATGTTTTTCTCAGTGAATTTCTTTTGGGTCTTTCCAAACACAATATTAATATTTTTCACTTGCTCATATACTTGTTCACCATTGCGTGGTACTGATGCAACTGCATTCTCCTGACATCCATTAAATGCTTTTTTCATTTTACGATATGGATGATTAGCAACTAGAAACTTTCTATGCCTATTGTACGCAGTTTTTTGTCCATGTTTCAATTGGATATAACTTGTGTCTTCTTGACATATAGGACACGCTAAATGACCTTTCACATTATAACCGCTTAAATTACCATATGTCTGGAAAATCATTTATAGTACAAAATAACATTGCACGCAACCTCGAAATTCACTTCGTGATATGAATCAAATACATCCACTCCTGTTTCCCACAACATTTTCAAATCATCAATTAAAGGACTAAGATATACATCTATGTCATTTCCTGGTTGTCGAGGTCCTGAAATCATCATAGATAACATCATATATTTTCTCTTCATGCATAACCAAGGAGGCAAATTGTAAATGATCAACATAACTGGCCATGGACTATGTTTACTACTTAAATTTCCATAAGGATTCATCCCATCTGTAGCTAATCCAATTCTCAAGTTTCTTGGCTATGCACCAAATTCTGGAAAGGTTTTATCAATCCTTTTCCATTGTGGAGAATCAGCTGGATGTCGAAGAAGATTGTCACATTTTCTACCATTTGCATGCCATGTCAAGTTTCTTGCATCTTCTTTTATGACAAATAATCTTTTAAACCTAGGTATAATTGGCAAATACCATAACACCTTAGCAGGGGGACCATCTACTTCTTCCTCACCACTACTTTCCTCAACTTTGTTTTTGAACCTCGACAAACCACATGTCGGACACATCTTTAATTTAGCAAAATCATTTCTGTACAATATACAATCATTAGGACATGCATGTATTTTCTTGTACTCTAAACCCATTGGACATAATATCTTCTTTGCCTCATAGTTACGAATGGGTAATGTATTATCTTCAGGAAGCATCTCCTTCAACAACTCCAATAATTCGGTGAAACTTTTATCAGTCCATCCATTTCTTGCTTTTAAAGTAAACAATTTTAAAGTTGCTGATAATCTTGTAAAACTACATCCTATGTACAATTGTTGCGCAAAATCAGATTTCAAAGAATCATATAGATGTGCTTTCATAAAATTTTCTTCACCAATATCACGTATCATATCCTCTAGATTATCATCCATCCCTTCATCAAAATTGTCTGTAGTTGATACAGTTGGGATGTCTAATATTTCTCCATGCCATGTCCATATTGTATAACTCTTAATAATACCATAAACAAACAAGTGATCACGTATATCCTCAAGTTTATGACGAATTTGATTCAAACAACGAACACATGGACAATAATATGTTCCTTTCATAGCTTTTCCATTTTCACTAGCAAATTTCAAAAATTCCTCAACTCCCTTTTTGTACTCTTCACTAATACGACGTGCATTCATCCAACTTCGATTCATATTATGTTATAAAGTTTCGTCACTCCTAGAGATTTAAAAATTATATGTAAAAAAAATTAATATACAAACAACAAAACACGTTCCAACAACAATGGAGTGTGTAAACCGAATGCACTCAAACAAATAAACAAATAATTACATTCCAATAACAATCCAGTGGAGACATTCATACTATAACGTGATTGAGATCCCCAAAAACAATCACGGATTCAATGTAAACATATAGCAATGACATAAAACACTAACCTTGAGTGTAGACGAAACCGATTTCAAACTCGAATCCAATCGGGAGAAAGATCAAGTTCGTCAAATGACACGATAATGTAGATGCTTTTCACCGTAAACCGCTCGAAAATGGTGTGCAGAGGTAGTCGTTGTCGTCGTTCTCAAAAACCCCGGTTGCGCGAGACGAGGAAGTGGGTCCGGAGGGAAATAAAATAGACTTTTACGTCGCGCATCCTAGCACGCGACGTAAAGCCATCTTTACGTCGCGCCTCCCGTGTGCGACGTAAAGAGACTTTTTACGTCGCATACCGGGATGTGCGACGTAAAATTTTTGTCCCATATTTACAAAATTGCCACCGCATTTTATTTACGTCGAATATACATGCATGCGACGACAATTGGGTGACGTAAAAACCCTATTTTGCACTAGTGGAAACTTCTAGAATTTTCTTTATTTCTAGAAATTTCTTCCATTTTCTTTCCTTTATTTTCTTTATTTTGAGATCTTAATTTTAGCGTTAGTTGATAGATATTTTTGACAAAATCTTCATTATACCTTTTCAATATTTGCTTATATGCGTCAAAAGAATCCATTAGTTCTGTCATTGATAAGATAGATAAATATTTGATTTATTTAATTATTGTCACAATTACATTATATTTGTGGGAATAGAAATTAAATTTTTCTTAAATTTTTTTGTTAAGAATATTTTTCTCACATGCTCTCATTTGACTTACTATCTCTTTAATTACAGTATAATAATATTTGATAGTTTAATACTAATTCATACTCAATAACTAAAATTCACCTTAGAGTTTTGAGTTTAATGATGCGTACCTTTACACTTCCTTGAAACTCCTTATGTTGTGTGCTCCACGCCTGTTTAACACTTGTGACATCCATTATCCTTAAAAATATTGCATCAACTATGACTTGTTATAGAAAATATAATACCCTTGAGTCTTTGAGCTTGTTCTCCTTCAACTTGTTATAGAAAATATAATACCCTTGAGTCTTTGAGCTTGTTCTCCTTCAACTCATTATGAGTCACTCTTAATGTAGAAATGTCCATAGGAGTAATGAAACTATCTTTTACAATCTTTCACATATTTTGAGAGAAAAAAATGTCTTCATTTTAATGTTTCAAAAGTCATAATTTTCTCCCATAAAGATAGGTATAAAAATAGATGAAAAATAATTTATATTATTAGTTATTAATAGAGATTTATATAAAATATAATATGACTTTTTAAAGATAATTGGATATTATATTTATGCTTACTAGATGATCGAATACAGCTTTGGTATCATTATTCGTATTTTAGAAAGAATATAAAAGATTGGTAGCTCTATAGCACCATTGTTATAGTTTAAAAAAAATATAAAAGGTTGATTTGTTGTTTAGGAGTGAGGAGGTTAAAAAGGTATAAAAGAGCCTGAAAACATGGAGGAATTAATATTAGTTTTTGCAATTATTATAGTAACTACTTATTTATAGATTCGATCCATCCCCTCGATGTAAACTATAATATTCTACTACTTATAGATCCATCACCTCAAAATAATCTATAATATTCTAAAAATTCTAATTTTTCGTTACTCTAAAATTATAAAAAATAAACTATTGAACTATCTTTTAACTTTCATACATTTGTATAGATTATCTTCCTTATACTTTTTTACAATTTTCTTAAGATTGGCTATACATATATTTGTATCATGTTTTAACCATCTCTAATATGAAACATTTAAATTCAGATTTCTAATTATTTTTATTTGAAGTAAATATTTTAGTTGAAAATGAGTTGCACATGGAAGTAAATTATTAGAAGTAACATTGTCTTAACAGAATTTATGGAATAATAAATTATTTTTGATTATATATTTATGATATTTTTATTGTTATCAATTTAATTAAAAAAATTGTTATTTATATGTAGTAATTTAACTATTTTAATGAATTAAGTATTAAAATTATAATTTGTAATTAAATAATATTTAGACAATAAATCTGGACAAGGAACACGCCATTGTTCCTTGGAATATAACAAGAAGTAATCAATCATTCTTATGTTTTATTACTTGGTGATATTAACGTGCAGGCGAAGATGTAGTTGATAGCATGGAGTATGTTGCATTACTTGGCAAGGTGTTGCCATATCTAAAGCCGATACTGTATCAACTTCGGCCTTACGAAATCAGAGTTGGAGAACTAACCAAAGGTGTTAATAAGCTGCGGAAAGAGAGAAAAAGGGTGCAAAATAAAGTTAGAGAGGAAGAAAAACGAAATGGTAGAGCTATTGATGATGATGTGATTAAATGGTTGGAAGAGGTGGATGGAGTCATTTCGGAGTATGATGATTTCTGGGAGGATGAAGCCCGTCCCTATGCTGTGTGTTCTGATGGTTACCTTCCTAAACCCGCTATAAGGTATAGTCTAAGCAGAGTTGTGAATGGTATTACAAGGAGGGTTAATGTTCTACTGCAGACTGCGAAACATGATGATTTTTCTTATTGGTTGGGCACACCTTCCTTCGATGCTGATTTTGATAACATTAGGTATGAGTTGTTTGAATCAAGAATTCAAACTGTGGGTGATATTTTGGCAGCATTGGCAGACTCGAATGTTGAAGTTATTGGAGTTTATGGGTGGAATGGAGTGGGGAAAACTAGTTTGATAAAAGAGGTTGCTAAGGAAGTAAAAGGTAGTATGTTTGATGAGGTGATTATGGTGAATGTAACTAGTTGTCCTGACATTCGAAGTATTCAAGGACAAATTGCTGACAAGTTGGGGATGAAATTGGAAGAGGAATCTGAGAATGGAAGAGCAGCTTGCTTACGGGGAAGATTAAAGAACCCAAAGGAGAAAACCCTTATAATCCTAGATAATATGGGGGTGAAACTGGACTTCAATGTGTTGGGAATTCCATCTGAGAATAATGGCGGTAGCCAGATGAATTACAAAATGAAAAACCCTTCGGCCCATCATAGCTATGCAATGAAAGCAGAAGAATTTGATGGCTCTAGTTTGATGAAGACAGAGGAACCTCTTGCTAGGCACAAAGGATGCAAAATTTTGATGATTTCTGATAGTAAACAGATTTTGCTAAGCCAGATGGAGGGGAAAGGAATCCATACTTTTTGTGTAAAAGCATTAAGGGAAAAGGAGGCAGAGACGATGTTTAAGAACATGGCTGAAATAGGTGATGGAAATTCTATGCTTGAAACATTAGCCACTCAAATTGCCAAGAAGTGTAAAGGGTTGCCCTTGACGATTGTTACAACTGCAAATGCATTAAAAAACAAGAGTCTTCTGGTATGGGAGGATGCATATCGAAAGCTTGAAAGGCAAAACTTAACAGCAATGCCTGAGTTTTCCACAAAGCTGAGTTATGAACTTCTACAAGATGAGGAGCTCAAGCACACTTTCTTAATTTGTGCTCGTATGAATCATGATGCATCAATTACTGACTTGGTGAGATATTGCGTCGGTGTTGGTTTACTTCAAGGAATTTACACAGTAAGGGAGGCTAGAGATAGAGTACACGTGTTGGTTGGAAAGTTGAAAGAGTTGAGTTTGTTGTCTGATAGTTTTTCAAGTGATCGTTTCACCATGCAAGATATTGTCCGTGATGCAGCTTTGTCAATAGCTACTCAGCAGATGAACGCCTTTGCATTGACAAATGGTAAACTAGATGAATGGCCCGACACAGACAAGCTTGAAAGGTACACTGGTATTTCCTTACATTATTGTGATTTGACTGATATCATGAAGGAGTTTCCTGAAAGCATAAACTGTTCCAGACTTAGAGTTTTTCGTCTTGACAATAAGGATCCACTTCTTGAAATACCAGACAACTTTTTTAATGGAATGAAAGAACTCCGAGTGTTAATATTGATTGGCATTCATCTATCATCCTTACCTTCCTCAATTAAATGCTTAAAAAAACTCAAAATGCTTTGTTTGGAGAGATGCAAGTTATCTGAGCATTTATCCATCATTGGAGAGTTGGAGAAATTACGAGTTCTTAGTTTATCAGGATCTGATTTTGATAAATTGCCCGTGGAATTGTGCCAGTTAGCTAAGCTACAAATTTTGGACATAAGTGATTGTTTTAAGCTTAAAATTATTCCTGCTGGTGTATTGTCAAGTTTGACTAGTTTGGAAGAGTTCTATGTGAGAAACAGCCCAATTCAATGGATAGATGAAGAACAGGGAAATTCTAGTCTTTCTGAGCTGAGGCATCTGATTCAGTTAAGAATACTTGATATACAGATCCCAAAAATTACCCATTTGCCGAAGAACTTGTTCTTCGACAAGTTGGATACGTACAGGATCATCGTTAGTGAATATTTTGATGCATATCCAGTGTGGGATTTCAAGATGCTAGAGCTGTTTGAATCATCAAGATATTTGGCACTTCATCAAGAAAACGGCTTTGACATTCATTATCAAAAGGAGCTCAAAATACTATTTGGAAGAGTTGAAAATTTGTTGTTGGGACAACTAAATGATGTTGAGGATATTTTCTATGAATTGAATTATGAAGGATTTCCATATCTAAAATATTTGTCCATTGTAAGTAACTCGAAAGTTAAGTCCATCATCAATTCAAAGAACCTTAAACATCCTGAGAAAGCATTTCCCAGATTAGAGTCGTTGTTTCTCTATGAAGTCAATAACATGAAGCATATATGTCAGATTCAGCTTACACATGATTCATTTTGCAAATTGAAAATCATCAAGCTCAAAATATGTGGTCAATTGAAGAATGTTTTCTTCTCTTCTATGATCAAACATATTTCTACACTTGAAACAATTGAAATTTCTGAGTGTAACTCTTTGACGGAGATTATTACCTTGGAAACGGATAGAATTGTTATCATAGATAAAATCAAGTTTCCAGAACTGCGCACTTTGACACTACAATCTTTGCCTGAATTTATTGGATTCTACAATGATGATGCATCAACAAGAGAAGAAGTGCCTAATAGGAAGCCCAATGAACTCTTTGATGAAAAGGTGTGCACAAAATTGTCATGTTGATTTGGTTCATCTTCTAGACTTTAAACTTTCATGAACTTGATACTATATTTGGTTGCCTATTTCTTATTATCTATCTAACCATTCTTTTTCCTTTCCTCACATTGTATATTAATTTGAGAAAATCAGAATAAATTCTTTAATATTGGTGACATTGGTAATGTGTGTTTGATCATTGCAGGTTGTGATTTCAAAATTAGAGAGAATGGAATTGTCCTCGATAAAAATTAAAAATATATGGAATGACCAACCCTCAACAAGATCAAACTTCAAAAATTTGATACACTTGGATGTGAATGATTGTTGGAATTTGCAATATCTACTGTCCCTTTCGATGTCCAAAAGTCTGATAAATCTTCAAAGCCTTTTTGTGAGTGAATGTGGGAATATGGAGAGCATATTTATTAGAACGGAAGCTAGTACCATTGAAATTGAGGTATGTTGGTGGGATTAGAAAATATTTCATTTTCATATGTAGCTGATCCACATTATATTAATTATTAGATATTAGGAGTAGTTATTATTGACAGAAGTTTGGAGCAATTACATAATATATAATTGTGTATAATATTGGTTTATTGTGTTCTGTTATGTATTTTAGGAGCAATTGATTCATATATGGTCTGATGGTATTAGGTTGTTCTCTGAACATAGTTATTCTCCGTGGGAGTTGTTACAACCCTTGGACAGCAGTTGCAGTAAAATTCTGTTGAAGTTATTGTGCCTAAATCTCAACTTTCAGTGTTCTGTCATAAAACCTCATACATAAAACTACACATGATTTGCAAGTATTTCAAGTCCTACATCTTCATTCTCAAATTCTATGGCAGTAAATATCTGACACAAATACCACGGTTGTTGGATCAAAATATATATTTGTTTTGATTTCCTCTGATTTTGTTACTAGTTTAATTAAACTTTTGGCAATTGTGAATCAAACAGGATATCATCTTTCCAAAGTTGAAGAATATCAACTTGAAAAGCATGAAGAGATTGAAAGAGATATGGGCCAAATTTCCTCTACGTTCCTTTGGGAAACTGGATGCATTGATCATTGACGGGTGTAATAAGCTTGAACATGTTTTTCCTTCTTATATGGTCGGAAGATTTCAGAGTGTATGCAACTTGAAAGTTACTGATTGCAAGTCATTGAAAGTGATATTTGACCTCAAAGGTTGTGGTTGTGGAAAACCTGATGCTGAAGATATCACCAATTTACAAAATTTTCATGTAGAAGCACTGCCAAAATTGGAGCATGTATGGAACAAAGACCCGAAAGGGATTCTTAACTTCAAAAATTTGAAAAGTATATTAGTTCAAGAATGTCTCCATTTAGAATATATATTTCCACTTTCTATAGCCATGGATCTTGAGAAACTGGAATGCCTTGAGGTTCAGAATTGTGGTCAGTTGAAGGAAATTGTTTCCAGGGTGGAAGCAAACAACATGAGCAGCATTTCGTTCGAATTTCCTAAACTGACCACTGCCAGGTTTTTGAAACTGCCAAACCTTGAGAGTTTCTACGGGGGAACACATGAAATATGTTGTTCAGCCCTAAATAACTTGTCTGTGGAACTTTGTCATAAGCTTGAACTTTTCAGAAAAGAAAACACAAATTCAGAAATAGAGCCAGTCTTCTTGCCTGAAAAGGTACTCATTAGCCTCTATGTTTGTACAAATTTCATTATAAAGACTTTTGGAAAAAAGATTATATAAAAAGTTCCATGAATAAATTTTTACAAATTAACTTATGTATAAGATAATTTTAAATTGTGGTGAAGCTCATTTCATTTTTTTCTCTCTTCTGAGATAGAACTATAACAAGAGAAAGCAAAACAAATGTCTCCATTATATATTATCTTTTACATTAACTTGCCTTTCTTAATTTCATCTGCCATTTCTTATCAGGTAATCTACAACTTGAAGTCCATGCAAATAGAGCCACAAGATGCAGATTGGTTAATGACATATATGGGGAACTACCGGATGCACAAATTAAAAGAGTTTCAATTATCTAGACTAGTGGATACTAAGATTCTATATTTTTTCCTTCACAGAAATCCTAACCTAAAAAGTCTACTGTTGAGTAATTGTTTCTTTGAGCAGTTACTACCCCCAAGAGGCCTTGGTGAAGAAAATTTGGGGGTTGTTCCAAAGCTCAAATGCTTAAAGTTAATGAACTTACCTTCACTTAAGATGATAGGCTTTGAAGAAGACACAATACTCTTTCAAAAGCTAGAATGCTTGATTTTAAAGGAATGTCCATGTCTAAACAACATACCTTCCTCAATGTCTTTCACATACTTGACAAATCTGGAAGTCAGTAACTGCAATAAATTGAGCTATTTAATGACAACATCAACTGCTAAAAGCTTGCTTCAACTCACCACCATGAAGGTAACTCAATGTGAATCGATGGAAACCATTGTGTCAGATCAAGAAAATAAACGAGAAATTATTTCTGAAAAGTTGAAGGAAACAAAGCCACGGATTAGTTTCAAGCAATTGAAGGCAATAGAACTCATAACTCTGCATGCACTTGAAAGCTTCTATAGTTCCTTCCGTTGCTCCTTTGAGTTTCCCTCGTTGGAAAATTTTGTTGTGAGTGAATGTGGAAATTTGAAAAGCTTCACATATAATGATGAAGACAAGGCACCAATTTTGCAACAAATATGTGATAGAGACGAAACTGAGGAAAAACAATATTATTGGAAAGGTGACTTAAATGCTACGATAAAACATATGTACCAGATACGGGTAAGTATCACTATTCATGATTGTTGACCAACTTTTTTATTTCTCTGAAGTATATTTTTTATGAAGCTCTACTAAGAATATTAAAGAATTTTGTAATTTTTTTTCGTAAGATTTTCACAGGTAAGGTCTAGTTATGTGTTATCTGGCCGTTATGGATCACTTTGAATTTATTGTCTGTTATTTCTGGTTTCATCACTAAACTATTTACAATATTTACAGGCTATTGTTCCAGACAGGATGGAAACATACAATCCTTACACAATACTCGAAAGCTCTTATTTGAAGACTTTGAAACTTGTGAATATTGAAGATGGCAAGCCTGCTATTCCAACTATTGTTTTTCCTGGACTTAAGAATCTGGAAGAATTAGAAGTAAGCTGCAGCAATGTAGAAGTAATATTTGATATAATGAATGCTGATATGAAGGGATATACCCTTCCGTTGAAGAAATTGACTTTGTGTAAGTTGCCAATGTTGACACACGTATGGAATGAGGATCATGAAGGATTTCTCAGTTTTCAAAATCTGCGGGAAGTGCATGTTAGTCATTGTAGCAATCTGGAAACTTTGTTTGTTATGGAGTTGGCTAAAAGAGTTGAGAAGCTTGAGAAACTTGAAATAAGGCACTGTGAAAAGTTTCTAAAAGTTGTTGAAGAAGATAGAGCAACAACAGAAGCAGCAGAAGAATTTTCATTTCCTCGTTTAACCTCATTGGATTTGCGTATGTTACCACAGCTCACTTGCTTTTATCCTGGAAAGGTTTGTAATGGAATCTGCCTTGTTTTCTATTTTCTCCTTTTACCATTGTCTTTTCTATTCATCTTCTAATTGTCACCATATGCTTGACTTCTTGTTCTGCCCTTAATAGGCTATTTTCATGCTGGAGTCATTGAAGCTTGATTTGAAAAACGCTATGATGCTATGTAACAGAAATTTCCCAGAAGACATGCTTCATGAATTAGTCGAACTTGAGCTGGATTTTGATGATGTCAGTGAGGTATCGAATTTTCCATTTGAATTCTTTGAGAAAGCATCCAATTTAGAGTATCTTCAAATAAGACGATGCAGAGGTCTTGAGGAGTTATTCCCTTCTCAACCTCAACTATGTGAAATCAGAATGCCTGCACACCTAACAACAATAGTCCATTCGGCAGTGTCATTCTCCAATCTAAAACAGTTGTCTGTAAAATATTGCCATGGATTGAAGCATTTATTTACATCCTCAACAGCAAGAAAGTTGGTGCACCTTGAAGAGATGTACGTAGTGAAATGTGATTCAATAGAAAAAATATTGGCAAAGGAGCTAAACGAAACTACTTCAGAAGCCATAAAATTTGAGCGACTCAACACAATAATTCTAGATTCTTTATCAAGCCTCAAATGTTTTTATTCGGGTAGTGACACTCTACAATTACCATCTCTGATAAGATTGCTTGTGTGGAAATGCACTAAGATGAAGATTTTCTCCAGAGGAGAGATACAAGCGCAAACCTTTTTAGGAATTCAGGTCTCATTAGATCCAAAAGACGATTTGCTCTTCCACCAAGATCTTAACACCACTGTGAAGATGATCCAACGACAGGTAAGAACTTTATTCGAATAAATTCATCACTACTTCAGTTACTTTGTGAATTTGCTATTCCTTTTGTGCAGATTATAAGTGACATGTTTCAATGCTCTTGTATTATTAGTTAATAATATGATGAGACTTCTAAAAATCTGTTAGCAACTTTATTTAGTTTTTATTTTCACTTTTTTCTGTTTACTCTATAATTCAAATATTGACTTCCTCCTCTGAATCCGTATCTAAAGTATTTGTTAAAATTAGACTTCAAAATCTAAAAATAAAATCATATTCATTCAGAAATTACTTAGTAATTTTACATATTATTAATATATTTTCTCCTCAAATTATAAGTATGGCTCATAGATATCTATGTGATAAATCCTGTTTTTTATGGAATGAAAAATAAATAACTGACAATCATGATTTGCAACATAGACCTTCATTACTAATCCATTTTGTTTATGGTCTACTTATTCCTTTCAAATTAAAGATGCTAAAAGTAAAAGCATTGCAAATATCTAATGATAAACTTGTTGTAATATTTACAGGAATTTTTTAAAGCCTTGGGTGAAAATATTCATGAGTTAGTAGCAGACAGTCAGGTTAATGTTGCCGTTGGTCTACAAGACAAATGGTTGCGCAATTTGGGAGCTTTGAAGCTGGACAAGTGTATTCTACCATATGCCATTCCGTCTTGTATTGTTCCTAATTTAAACAACTTAAAAGAATTGGAAGTGCAGGATAGTGACAAAGTTGAGGTAATATTTGACATGAATGACATTGAGATAATGGAAACAGAATCCAAGTTGAAGAGATTGACTTTAAATGGGCTATCTAAACTAGTGCGTGTGTGGGAAAAGAACAGGCAAGGGGTTCTCATCTTTCAAAATCTGCAAGAGGTTGTTGTTAATAATTGTGAAAGCTTGCAAACTCTATTTCCTGCTTCCCTGGCCAAAAATCTTAAGGAGCTTGAGAAACTTGAAATACATTATTGTCTTAAATTGCAAGAAATTGTTGAAAATGAAGAAGACACAGCAGCAAACATAACAGAAAAGTTTGTGTTCCCTTGTTTAAAGACGCTGGTTCTTTGTGACTTGCCACAGGTCACATACGTTTGCCCTCAAACATTCTCCCTAGGATGTCCAGCCTTAAAATACTTATTTGTGTTGCATTGTGATGAGTTGGAGTTATTTCAAAGTGCACATCCCGTAGGTGAAGGAGAAGGTGGGGGTACTTCAATTACCACACAGCCTCTTATTTCAGATCTGAAGGTAAGGAAAAGCATCATAAATCTATACTCTCAACTTTGTTTTCTTCTCTCGTTTCATTTTCTAATTTATAGACCTTTCCATCCTTTTTGTTTTCCTTTTAATTGTTAGGACATTTCCTACTTGGAGAAATTTGGACTTGATTGGAAACACATTTCAGCATTATGCTCAAGGTTTCGGTCAGAGCAATTTATGGAAGGCCTCAAATATTTAAATGAAATTCACCTGTATTATGGCGCGGATGTGAATAAGAAGCATATCTCACCCGTTGAAATACTCCAAAGGGCACCCAATTTAATTGAAATTAGTATAGAAGATGGCAATAGTCCTGAGATATTCCATGCACAAAACACCATCGTTGATGAAGATGGGATGCTTGGACGGTTTAAAACATTGACACTGGAAAATGTGTCCGCACTCCAGTCCATGGAGTCAAAAGACTCGTCATGGTTAAACACAATCTGTGAGAAGGTCCAGGAATTGAATGTTGTGAGATGTCCTCATTTAACAACATTAGTACATAAAGTGTCTGTCTCCTGTCTAAGAAAAGTGTCTATATCCAACTGTCCCGACTTACAGTATTTGTTTCCAACTTCAGTTGCCAAGAAGTTACTGAATCTTGAGGAGATCACAGTTCAGGAATGTAAATCACTGAAAGAAATAGTGGCTAAAGAGGGAGATGAAACTTTTGAGGCCATTAAATTTGAGAGACTTAAAATCATTGCTCTAGATTCTTTACCAAGTTTGATTTGTTTCTATTCGGGAAGTGACACTCTCCACTTACCGTCTTTGATCAATGTGCGTGTCAGGGAATGCCCCAGTATCAAGATTTTCTCTCAAGGAGTCATACATTCTGAGTCCTTTAAGGGAATTAGGATTTCATTCGATCCAGATGAAGATTTGGTCTTCCACCAAGATCTTAACGCCACTGTAAAAGGGATGTTCCAACGACTGGTATGAACTTCGAATCAATATATGAGGAAATAAATAATATATGCAATTCAATCATAACCGTCACATATTTTGTCAACTTTTGTAATAACTAACATCATCAAGTGTTCTGATGTCATACTCATTGTAATATTTACAGGCATTTTTAGAAGCCTTGGACGAAAGGTATCCTTATGAGAATCTTAAGCAACAAAACACATGGTTGAGTTATTTGGTAACTGTGAAGCTGGACAAGTGCATTCTACCATATGCAATTCCAACTATTCTTCCTCCTTTGAAGTGTTTAAGCACATTGGAAGTGGGGGGTAGCGACCAAGTAGAGGTAATTTTTGATATGAGTAACACTGAAATACAGGAAATAGCATCACGACTGAAGGTATTGACTTTAAAAGGGCTATCAAATCTGAGAAATGTTTGGGAAATGAATAGTGAAGGAGTTCTTATCTTTTCACTTCTGCGAGAGGTCGTTGTTAGTGGTTGTAAAAACCTGCAAACTTTATTTCCTGCTTCCCTGGCAAAAATTCTTAAGCAGCTCCAGAAACTTGAAATAGATTCTTGTGATAAGTTGCTAACAATTGTTGAAAAGGAAGAAGGCACATTAGCAGACGCAACAAAAAAGTTTGTTTTCCCTTATTTAGAGAAACTGGATCTTCGTGACTTGCCACAACTGACTTACTTTTACCCAGAAACATTCACTCTGGAAAGCCCCACCTTAAATCAGTTAGCTGTGCTGTATTGTCATGAGTTGGAGTTGTTTCCAAGTGCTCATCTCCTGGAGGAGGGTGAAGGTATGAGTATATCAATCAATAGACTACCTCTCATCTCCGACCTAAAGGTAAAGCAAAGCATCAAACAATCTACAACCTCAGTTATTCTTTTTTCTTTTTTGTTTCTTTATCTTATCTTCTTCTAATTCATAATATATTTATCTCATTTTCCACCTTTTATTGTTAGGTTATTTCCAACATGAAGGCGTTGATGCTTGATTGGAAACAAATTTCGACATTAAGCTTATGGTTTAGGTCAGAACAATATACGGAAGACCTTGAACATTTAAACGAAGTTTCCCTGTCATTCTTTCACCGTGATGAGAATGAGAAGCCTGTGTTGCCAATTGAATTATTCCACAAGGCACCCAATTTAGAAGAACTAAATTTGGGCTACTGCAATACTCCTGAGATATTCCTTGCTCAAAACCCCAAAATCGGTGAAGATGGGATGTTTGACCACTTAAAAATATTGACACTAGATAAAGTAGGGTCTCTCCACTCTATCAAGTCAGAGGACAAGTCATTTTTAAACACAATCTCTGAGATGCTTCATGAATTAAATGTTTTCAGTTGTCCTCACTTGACAACATTAGAACATTCAGTGTCCTTCTCTTGTCTAAGAGTGGTGTACATTTACAACTGTCCCAACTTGCAGTACTTGTTCACATTTTCAGCAGCCAAAAGATTAATGAACCTTGGGGAAATCAGAGTCGAGGAATGTGAATCAGTGAAAGAAATAGTGGCTAAAGAGGGAGATGCAACTTCAGAAGCTACTGAATTTGAGCAACTGCACACCATTGCTTTAGAATCTTTACCAAGTCTAACATGTTTCTATCCAGGAAGTGACACTCTCCACTTGCCATCTTTGATCAATGTGCATATAAAAGAATGCCCCAATATGAAGACTTTCTCCCAAGGAATCATAGATGCTGAATCCTTTCAAGGAATTCAGATTTTGTTGGACTCTAATAAAGATTTACTCTTCCACCAAGATCTTAACACCACTGTAAAACGGATGTCCCAACAACAGGTAAAAACTTCATTTTAGTCCATTGATTAATATAGTATAACTGTGGGATCTCTACCACTTATCTATTTTTAGGACAGAACGAGCTAAATTTTCTTTCTATATATGATTTTCTTCTCTTCACCCTCTCCTCTTGCATTTTCCCCTTACCCTCATGTTATTTCTATCATTGAGTAAATTCCTCTCCAACTTTGAAGATGCCGCTAGTGCAATGCATAAAGTCAAAAAAACAAATACGTAAATCTCCACAAAAGAAATACCATCACTCCTTTCTACCTACTCAAAATGACTATGCAACCAACCTTCTCACAAAATAAAGATTACTACTAATTTCAATCTAATAAGACAGAACAAATATTATAATAAGTATCTAGAAAATCTAAATTCTTAAGACTCGTCCTTGAATTTTTGTTTTTCTTGAATGTTCTTCCAAGCTTTGATCTCAACAATTCAAACTTGTTCTTGGAAAGTATTTTGGCCATGATGTTTGTAATTTGATTTTCCTAATTACCATGCTTTAGGTTTATTTCCTTTGATTTCTCTACTTGTCATAATATTTCACCTTAAGGTGGTTAGTTCTACCATGCTAACAATGTCGGACTTATTGTCAATCCATATGAGATTCATCATGTAGCTATCTCACGTTGTACAAATTTTTTTAGGCCAAATGACTTGATATATAATTGTTCTAATTGAAATATACTCACACTACAAGAAATATTAAAATTACTGACGGTCAAAATCCTTCGGTAAATGTGTTACGAAATTACCGACGGATCCGGATCCGTCGGTAATAATTTTATTAATTATTAAATATTTTACTTATTTATAACATATATTTTTTTATAGAACCCCTCCCCCTTAGACTCTTATTATTTATTATTAATTATTTCTCCATATTAAATTTTTATAACTTTGAATTATTGTCGATTAAGAGAAATGTCATCGAGCAAGATTGAACCCAAGCATCTTAGTGTGAGGTCGATACTCCAACCACTAAGCTACTAGAATTTCTTGATAAAAATTTACAAATAAATTATATTTATATACAAATATACAAATACATTTATATATATTTATATATATTTATATATATATATATATATATTTATATATATTTTTATATATTTTTATATATTTTTATATATTTTTATATATTTATATATATATTTATATATTTATATATTTATATATTTATATATTTATATATTTATATATTTTATATTTATATATTTATATATTTATATATTTTATATTTATATATTTTTATATATTTTTATATTTTTATATTTTTATATTTTTATATATTTATATATTTATATATTTTTATATATTTTTATATTTTTATATTTATATATATATATATATATTTATATATATTTATATATAATTAAATATTTATTTTTAAAATTACTTAATTTAATAAATTATTATAAATTAATCTAATTATGATTAAATTAAATTATTAAATAAAAAATATTTTATTTTTTAATTAGTGAATAATTAAATTATATTATATAAATTTACCGACCGGATTTATCCGATCGGTAAATAATTTTTAATTTACATATGAATTTACCGACCGGATATATCCGTCGGTAATTAATTGTTAATTTATCGACGGATTTACCGACGGATATATCCGTCGGTAAATTCATCTATAAATTACCGACGGATATATCCGTCAGTAATATCAAATTTCACAAATATTTTATATCCGTCGGTAATTTCCGTCGGTAATGATTATTTTCCGACGGCTACAATTCCGTCGGTAAATATCCATCGGTAATACGCGATTTTCTTGTAGTGTCAGCTTCAAAGTTGATTGAACTACCACCTCTTATTTATTTATTTTTTAATTCCAAGAGAAAACACTACCAAATGAAAAAACATAACATGAGATATTCTTGGCATCATCTAAACTTCTTACCTAGTCACTATCCACATATCAGTGAAGATTTGCACTTTCATCCTTTATAAAACATAATTAGTTGTGCCTATGCATCTTGTATTGGTTTTGCTCCACAATAATGAGCTTGATTAGGATAATACATAAATTTGGACAACAAACTTGTACTAGACATTATGTCTAAACGTTCAATTAAGCTTCTATAAACAGAAACATCTACTTTGCTGCTAGTATCATTTAGAGACAATTTCTCATTTACAACAAAGGGTGTGTTTATTGATTTAGAAAGGGTGTGTATCTCCACACCAGCAAAATAATTTTCATTTCTCTTAAATAAGTCATTTCAAAATGAGTTTTCATGCTATACTTAAATTTTTTAAAAGAACCTAAATTATTGCTAATGATCAACAAATTATATTAGGACACAATGAGATGCACTTCATTTGGTTTACCTTTTTCCATATATAGTAGCTTCATTTTCACTTCCTTTAAACCCCCTATGGAGAAGATAATTGTTAATGCTAGTATATCAGGTCTTGGTGTCTGTTTTAATTCATAAAGAGTTTTTGAAGTTTGTAGACTTTGTTTTCTCTGTCTAAAACAAGAAAGCTTTTAGGTTGTTTAACATAAATGTTCAAGCAAACCATTTAAAAACGCTTACTTCGTATCAAATAATGATAAATTTTTCAACCCATTTTTGCTACCAATGTAACTAAAAACCTGATTGTATCAGGTCTTGCTAGAGGAGAAAAGTATATGAAAAATCAAACTCCATATTGTTAATGATAGCATGTAACAACAAACCTAGTTGTTCACGAAACTATCTGGATTAAACTTTGTTTTATGAAATAACAAACAAATGTTCCCCAATTTGTTATTGGTGCTTAGCAACTTGAGGTTGTTGTCCTTGTTACTTTGCCTTGTTTTTCAAAATTTTTCTACATAACCAAACTGGTTACAAGTCCTACATTTGATTTTAGGGCTGAACCAATAATAATTGTTTTTGTATGACTTGTCTTTTTACAAGCCTCTTTTTCTATTGCTATCTTCTACCTTTTTTCATTATTTTTCTTTTCCACCAAAAAGGTTTTTTCCATAGTTACTATTATTTTGAGTTTTTGTCTTTGGTGTTAGCCACATCATGATTACTTCAAATTATCTTTTCAAATTCTGCACCTTCATCCTTCATGTACGTTCACTACCTTGGAACTCTTCCCTGAACTTGTCCAAAGCCTCATTTCTTGTTTCACGATTCAAGTTCTTGATAGAAACATCATCATGTAATATTTCACGTATAATAACAAGTGCTCTCTGTCTTCCTTTGTTGCCTCTTTAATATGAAACCTTTTTTGAGCTAGGATTGAGTTGTTTGGTGTTCTATCACTTTTCACACAGGTTTAAACTCTCAAATAAATATTCATTGTTTATCCCGCAAATCATAATTTTTTCTACAAATTGGAGGTAAAGATAAAGAATTATTACTGGATACCATTCTTTCGTATGGTATTTTTTATTTATTATGAATTTCTAATTGATTTTCACTCCCTCATATTTCCTTAAAAGTCATAAAGCTCTCGATATAAAGCACGAAAATCACTATTGGCAGCCCTAGAATTATAACTAAAAAAAAATTATAAAAATGACAAAGTTTGATGGTTTCATGTTTTCGCATCATGCCTTACATAATATGGTTTAACTGTTATGAATCTTTTACGTATCAAAGTTCGTGTTCCACACTGCTCCTGAATAGATTTGACATAAATGTTTGAAACTGCTTTACTTTTTGCTATTGCCTAATCTTTTTTTTTTTTTTTTTTAATAATAAGGTTCAATGAATCAGGAAAATAAAAAAAAAAATGCAGTAAAGGGAATAGAATGGTGACAACATTGCTTCCTGTTGAAGTGTGGTGGTATGCAGGAATAAAGAACACCTATATAGCTGCAGGAAATATGCATTGTTCTGAAGTTATAGAAAGAAAGTTCGTATTTATGAATAAAGGGTACCTGTATTTATACAGGAGAAAAGGTGTGTATATTTTTTAAATTACAAGGGCGTTTCATATTTGACCAGACGTTGCATGGAGAAGGTTGGCAAGTTCATGCATTTCTACAGATGTTGTGTATGGTTTTCAAGGTCTTAGAGGTGTTTCATGCATTTCTATGTGTAAAAGGGGTGTTCTGCGAATAAAGATGTTCTGAAAATCTGCAGGAGGTGTGTATGGTTTCTAAATTGTGTATAGAGTTTAATTCTATTTCCAATCGTTGTTAATGCTTCTTGATGACAGCATATATGCACTTCTTGTTACCTTCTTCCTAATAAAATCCAACTTATTTCCAATGTGTTTTTGGGAATAAAATTGACCATTATTTATCCATTTTCTTGACATAAACATCTACACTTATTCTGATCATGTTTATTGAATTGAAATGATTGAATAACCCAAGTTGGTATTATCATTCATACTTGATATTGAAAATTAATTATATATTTAACGTGATAAAATATGTTTGAGAATTATTTTAAGGTTGAATTAGATATTTATCCCTGCAATTAGGACAATTACTATTCGCCACTCCTAAATAACTCTTGAGATATCTTCCATTATTCATAATGTGAGTGATATGTTTTACACGTTGAGGGATTCTAAATTCACATTTCAAACTTAAAAAAAAAAACTATTTTACTTGTATAATTAATTTTGAATATTTCGAATGATTATGATATTATTAAAACACTAACAGAATAATTAACAAAATAGTTAAAAAAAATCATAAATTGTTCTATTTGTTACCTTCGTTGATTTGCAGGCAATTTTTTTTTCTAAATTCTAAATATTTTACTTTTTTTATTTATTCTGTTTAACTTGGTCCATCAATTCATAAAAAAGTTCAATCAATTATTTCAATTTTTAAAAATTACAACGTGATCTTTTAAATCTTAGACCAAACTAATGTTAAAAAATGCAATAATATGTGACGCTTTGCTAGTCGAAATTGACATAGTTAATTTTATACATGATCAGTATTCATTGGTTGTAAATTGTATTATGTTTAAAATTTAATTTTTTAATATTTAATATGTGTATTAATTGGATGAAAATGGTTTCATTGTACTATTTGTTAAAATTGAGTGTCTTAATTGATTTTTTTTTAATAAAGAGACCAAATAGAATAGAATAAATAAATAATAAAAAAATTTAAGTCAAACTATTTTATTCATTTGTAGATAATTTTATAAAATCAACTAATCCTTATATTATTAAAATGGAAATTTAATTCATTTATAGCTAATTTGATTTCAATTTAAAAATATATTTTTCTCGTAATTAATTTGATTAATTAGTATAATTAAAGGGTAATTAACATCTCTAATAGTTCAAGTTAAATTAAAAATAATATTGCAAAACATTCCAAAGAGATGTGGGTAGTAAATCATGATGTTGTAAAGAGATATTCCTCTCCTAATTCATCTTCATCTTGTGTAACTTGACAACTTAATTATGCTGAGATTATATATATATATATATATATATATATATATATATATATATATATATATTATTTATTTATTTCATCTCCCAACTTCTTCAACACTATCTGACATGATTGCTTTTATCTTTTAAATATTTGAAGGTACAAGGAATCAAGGGGACTCAATGACAGCAATGACATAATCTTCAAAACAACTTCGACAAATGGAGGGCTTCTCTTTTCTGTTGAAGTGAAAAGTTTCCCTATATACCTACAGGAAACAGGAATGGTTTGAGTTATACAAGGTTGTTTTTATGAATGAGGTGGTTCTGTTTTAAATTAAGTTATTGAAGGGCTATAAATATATTCTAGAGAAGTATACCAATGCTCCATGGAGAAAGTTAGCAACATGGCATGCACATTTCGACAAGAGTGAATGAGTAATCAAAAAGAAGTTAAAGAATGTTGAGGTTGAAAGAAGGTTTAGAATAAGTTAAAGAAGATCTATTCCAACAGAGAAGTTGTCTCTACAAAGGGTCCAAATTTAGTTGATGAACAAATGATATTAATCTAAATCTTTCATATCTTCCTTTATTTGAAGTTGATATAAGATGCATCATGAGTTTGGTCAGGTTGATTGGGGATACGGTTTTACAATATTGGGTGATTTTCATTAGGATAATGCAGCTGCTAATTTCAAACAAGTTGAAAACGAAATTGCTTATAAAAATTTAGTTGATATTATTGTTATGCGGTATAGTTATAATATGTCACTTGTGGTTCATGATTTAGAAATATTGAAAAGTTTTAGACAGAAAAATTTGAAGAAAATTAACTTCAGTTGTAGACAAAACTAGCAAGAAAAATTAAAATTGGACATGATATCGTTCAAAACTACCTTTTGTATGCTACATACAAGGACTTCTGTCAAACAAGAGACAATTGTATTAAAGATGGAAGTAAGATTATTCCAACTTTCAAATCATGGTAATATAAATACTAGTTATAACATCTGTGATGAAACATTTCATACTATAAAAATACCAAACACAGCATTAAGAAATGCGTAGTTGCCAACTTTGAACATCCTTCTCATGAAATACATTCATGTCGCAGCTTTATTAATAAAAAATCCTTCAACAACTTAGTCCAAAATCATGTAAACCTCTAGCAATACAGGTCAAATACTGAAAACACCGGTCCTATACAGGACCACTTTATTTAGAAAACACAAACACCGTGTATAACAAAACAACCATACATATGTAACCTTTATTCATGAACATCAAACTTCAACAGAAAAGAAAAGCCTTCCAATTGTTGATAGTTGTTGTTATGATTCTATCCCCCTATCATATTTTTGCATTCTGAGTGTCCCTGATTCCTTGAACCTTGATCAGTAAAAGAGACCAAAAAAAAAAAAACACTTCAGATAGTAGCTAAATATAAAACAGTTTCAAACATGTCAAATCTATTCATGTGTACTGCGATCTTCAGATCCATGTTTTCATTAGATGAAAATTATAATGGCAGGAACAAAATCGAACTCACTGACGTTGCATGTCGATGAGCTTGATTAAAAGAAGCAAACTAATTAACGAGGGAACCAATAAGCTTTTTCTAACCCAACAACAAGCAAATTATTAACAAAAGTGAGGTGATCAGAGATGACCACAGGTATTGGAATAAATACATATACTGATTTAACATTATCAATTCTTCATTTACGTATAGAAGACTGCTAATTCTTCATTTACGTACAGAAGACTGATGAAAGAGTTTGTATTAATTTTCCTCATTCATTACACAAGGAATATTGTCTATTTATATATTTGATCTACCATCTCTTACTTAATTTTAGAATTATCTATTTTTTATTTCTTAACATTTTTAGAATATTCTAATAATTCTAGATATTACTTATATAAAATTTCTAATTTACTTTATTTTTTAAATCTTTCTAAAATTTAGATCGCCTTTCAACCTATATAAACGAAAAAAAACGAAAAAAGGTTAATGGTTAATGAACATCTCATTCATAGAGTAGTAGTTGATCAACATATATTGAATGATTAATTGGCTACATAATCTAATCCTAATGGGAAAGTGTGCGAAAAATTGATATGTCAAATGACCAAGCCTAATCTAATAAATAAGTGATTGGTTAGTAACCGTATCTAGAAACATGTATGCAAGGTATTAGAAAAGAGAAGGAATATTTATTTCTCTTATACATTTTGATTCATATAGTCACTGATTTATAGATAGAATTAGTCCCAAAGAGCTAAATCTGCCAGTCAGGAACAAAATCAAGACACGACAAAGAAAAAAATTCAAGAAGCAATATGATCTGATCATAATTCAGAATTTATTCAAATCTGATTCTGAACAGATTTATTACAGTCAAATCAAGGCATGAAAAGAAAAAGGAAAAACTTCCAACACATATATAATAAACTATATTAAAATTGTTAATATAGTAAAAAGTAAAAACCAGACGTGGCCAATAAGCTAATGTGTTTTTGACATAAATGATATTTAGTGACTGAATGAATTGTAAATGAGAATAGGTTTAATATGTTGTGAATAAATTATTGTTGAAGACATTAAACTCTCACAATGCTAAAGATCCAACATGGTGGGAGAGAAAATCTTCATTCTGATAAAAAACATTGAATTCACTGAATTATATGAAAATAATTGGAAAATCAATTAGAACAGTACCCTATGGTAAGGAGAAAATGAAGATAGAAGGGGTAATAGAGAGGGTGAAGAGAAAAAAACCTTTAGAAAAAAGAAATGTGGGCTCGTGCTGTCCCAAAAATCGACAACGGTACAGGCCCCACAGATTTTATATTACTACTAATAATCAATTGATTCAAATAAAGTTCCTACCTGTGGTTGGAACATCCTTTTTACGTTGGCGAGAAGGTTTTGGTTGGAGAACAAATCTTCATTTGCAACTATGTCTCCTTGTGAGAAAATCTTCATGTTGGAGCATTCGGTTATATCCACATTGATTAAAGACGGTAAGTGGAGAGTGTCACTTCCTGAGTAAAAACATATCAGACTTGGTAAAGATTCTAGAATAATGGTATGCAATCGCTCAAATTTAATTTCTGAAGTTGCCTCTCTCTCTTTAGCCACTATTTCTTTCACTGATTCACATTCCTGGACTGTGATTTCCTCAAGGTTCGTTAACGTTTTGGCTGCTGAGGATGTGAACAAAAACTGAATGTCTGGACAGTCGTACACTTTCACCCTCTTTAGACAAGAGAAGGACACTGAATGTATTAATGTTGTCAAATTATGACAGCTGAAAACATTTAATTCATGAAGCTTCTCACAGATTGTGTTTAACAATGATTTGTCCTCTGACTCCATTGAGTGGAGATTGGATACTTCATATAGGTTCAATGTTTTTAACTGTCCAAGAATCCCATCCTCCCCAATTTTGAGGGTTTGTGCTAGAAATATCTCAGGACTACTTAAAAACCCCATATCTAGTGCTTCTAAATTGGGTGCCTTTTGGAGTATTTCAAATTGCAACACAGGCTTCTCATTCTCATCCGGGTGAAAGCATGACAGGGAAACTTCTTGTAAATGTTCAAGGTCTTCCATAAATTGTTCTAACTTAAACCATAAGCTTAATGCTGAAATGTGTTTCCAATCAAGATTCAATACCTTCATGTTGGGAATAACCTAACAATAAAAGGAAAATGAAATGAGATAGAACAGACTTTGAATTAGAAGAAGACAAGAGGAAAATAAAAATAAAAATTGTGGTACAGATTCTGTGATGCTTTGCTTTACCTTTTCATCTGAGATAAGAGATAGTCTGTTCACTATACCTTCACCATCTTCCGAGGGATATACACTTGGAAACAACTTCAACTTATGACAATACAACACAGCTAATTGATTTAAGGAGGGGCAGTTCAGAGTGAATGTTTCAGGGTAAAAGTAAGTGAGTTCTGGCAAGTCATGAAGATACAGTTTCTCTAAATAAGGGAATACAAACATTTTTGTGGCATCTGCTAATGTGCCTTCTTCATTGTCAACCATTTCTAGCAATTTATCACAAGAATCTATTTCAAGTTTCTCGAGCTGCTTATGATTTTTTGCCATGGAAAATAAAGTTTGCAGGTTTTCACAACTACTGACAACGACCTCTCTTAGAAGTGAAAAGGTGTCTCCTTCAGTATTCATTTCCCAAACTTTTCTCAGCTTTGATAGTCGTTTTAAAGTCAATACCTTCAGTGGGAATGTTGTGAGTTTCTCATTGTCACTTATGTCAAAAATTACCTCTACTTGGTCGCTATCCTTAACTTCCAATTCTTCTAATTTCTTTAAAAGAGGAAGAATATAAGATGGAATTACATATGCTCGGGTGAACCTTTTCAGCTTCAGTCTTTTCAAATTGCGCAACCATATGTTTTGTTGTTTAACATTGCCCCGCAAGATTGTTTCATCAAAAGTAGGAGAACACTTCTTGTCCAAGGCTTCAAAATACTCCTGTAAATATTACAATGAAGTTTATAATCGAAATATAAGATATTGTTAGTATTTTAGAAAGAATAAGAAATGTTAGTTTGTTATTTAGTAGTGAGGAGTTTAAAAAGGTATAATTGAGTTCAGAAGAAAAATGTAGAAGAGTTTGGATTAATATTTTGCCCACTCATTATATAAGTGGTATATCCTATTTATAGGCTTAATCTACCATAAGTAGTGTACAATATTTTAGATATTCTAGCTTCTCGTAACTCTAAAATTATCAAGAATTATAATTTTTAAAATATTATTTTACTTTCATACATTTCTAGAATAACTATTTTATCTATAGTTCTCTAGATTTTTCTTAATTCATGTTTTCTAGATTATTCTAGAAATTTATATAATTTTTTAATACTTTTTCTTGATGTAAAATTTTGTAACTCCAACTATAAATCGTAATTATTCAAACTTGACTCATGGTAGTGTCTTAATAAATATGTTTACAATTTGATATTCTGTATGACAATATTCCAGTTGAATTTATTTAGTCAATTCAACCTCTTTGATGAAGTCATATTTAATTGTTATTTGTTTTATTCTTTGATGATGAATTAGATTCTTTGTCATTACTATTGTTGACTTGTTATTGTGGTAGATTGTAGTAGATTTATGTTGTTGCTTTTTCATTTCTTCAAGTATTCTTCAAAGTTATATAGTTTGACGTGTAACTTCAACTACTGTCATGTATTTTGTCTTTATTGTTGACTATCTTATTGTTGTTTGCTTTTTAAATGCCGAGGAGAAAAATTTTGATGCAAATGAGAAGGCGTAACTTAACACACTTTTCATGTCATCTATAGATTCTACCCCATCACTGTGAATGTAGCCAATAAAATTTGAGTTGGTGATGACTTTGTATCATACACCAAATTTCTTTATCTTATAAATATCTAAAATTATTTTTGCTACTCTAAAGTGATTCTGACTTGGTCTTTGCATAAACATTGACAAAAGACTTGTAACATACAAGATATTTGGTCATGTAGTTACAAGATATAGTAAGTTTCCAAACAAACTTTTATAGCATGATGCATAAGTTTTTGGTGATCCATCATCTTTTCATAACTTCTCATTTTTCATGAGTGGAATAGCCACAAATTTGCAACATACATCTTGAACTTCTATAATAAAGCTTCCACGTATTTCTTTTGAGAGATAAATATTCCCTTTTTTTTGTCTTACCTCTATGTCGAGGAAATAATTCATCAAACCAAAGTGACTCATCTCAAATGTTTTCAACATATCTTCTTTAAATCCCTTTTCATCTCTATATTATTTCATTTGTAGATAAAATCATCTACATATAGAGAGACAATGGGAGTATCATACTAACCTTAAGTCTTGATATATAGTGTTGGTTCACTCTTGCTCCTCCTAAATCCTTGATTGGTAAAGTACTAATCAATTTTGTTGTACCATGCTTAAGGAGCTTGCTTCAAGCCATATAGTATTTTTCTTAGCCTTAACACTTTGACTTCATTTCCTTTGCTTATAATTAACACTTTCCATGTATATCTATTCTTCAAGTACACCATTTAGAAGGATTGATTTGATTTCCAATTGGTGAATTTTTCATCCTTTTTGTGCTACATGAGCTATTAAAACTTTAATTGTATATGGGTAAGCAATTAGGGCAAATGTCTCATTATAGTAAACTCTAAGTTGTTTTGAATAGTCATTTGCTATTAGTCTAACCTTGTACTTTTGTATGGTATGGTCAGGATTGAACTTTGTTTTTTAGACCCATTTTACTCCAATGACGTCTTTTCAATGAGGGAAATTTACTGACTCTCAAGTATTATTCTTTTCAATTATTTCAATTTCTTTCTTCATTACCTTAATCCAAACCTCTTGATTTGTAGCCTCTTTATAGAATTCAAGCTCGAGCAATGCCATGTTACGTGTTGCATATATCACTACTAGAAAAATGGTTAATAGTGACTGAAATTAGTAACCGAAAAATTCAGTCACTGATAGTAACTGAATCAGTGACTGATTTCCGTTTTATATTTAGTGACTGATTTAGTGACTAAAATTTCAGTCACGGAAATCGGTCACTGATTCGGTCACCAAATCAGTCACTGATTCAGTCACTATTAGAAAAATGGTTAATAATGATCGAAATTAGTGACTGAAAATTCGATTACTAATAGTAACTCGAATCGATGATCGATTTCTCTTTTTATATATAGTGACTGATTTAGTGACTAAAATTTCAATCACTAAACAAATAATATATAAATTAGTGACCATTTTTTATTTATATAAATATTTTTAAAAATATTTTAATAATATATTAAATATAAATCTACTTAATAATTTAAAATAATTGATAAAATTTTTAATAATATTATAAATTTTTTAAAAAATAGTTTATTAACTTATTAAATAATTTAGTAATATAATTATTTGATTTTATTTTTTAATTTAGTATGTGAATAAAAAAATTAAAATTAATTATTAAATTAGTCACTGAATCGGTCACCGATTTGGTCATTAAAGTAATTATTAATTTAGTCTCTTTTATATATATAATCAATGATTAAATTAATTATTAATTTAGTCTCTTTTTGATATATATATATATATATATATATTACTTTTATGTTAATAAAAATGTATTTCAATGTATTTATAAAAAAATTAAAATTACTTTAATTATTGAATTGATATTTTAAATTTATATTAATATTTTAAAAAAGTAAAAATTATTTTTTAAAATTATTTAATTTAACAAATTATTATGAATTAATCTATGTCTGGAAAAAATAATTATTAAAAGATGATTTTGATTAATTTATAATAATATATGTTAGGAAAAAATTGTTCTATTAATAATCATAATTAGATTAATTTATAATAATTTGTTAAATTAAATAATTTTCAAAATAAATATTTAATTATTTTGAATATTGAAAAAAATATTTAATATAAGAATTTTAATTAAATAATAGAAGAAAAAAATATAAGAAGAATAAATTAAAATAAAATAAAAATAAATAAAGAAAAAAATTATTTTATATCATTATATAAATAAATTATAAAGATTATATTGTGTCATTAAATTATAAACTCATATAAAGAGACTCGCTCACAAATTTGACATCAAACTTTAAAAATCCACTCGACACACACTTTCACCCTCGAGCGCGCCCTCACATCCAATATATATATATAAATATATTTGTATTTGTATTTATATATTTTATATTTACACGAATATATATTTTTATTTGTATATAAATATAATTTATTTATAAACTATTATCAAAAAATCCTAGTAGCTTAGTGGTTGGAGTATCGGTCTCTAATTCTAAGGTACTGAGTTTGAATCCTACCAGTGACTATTATAATTAGATAAAATAGAAAGGGGTTATAAAAAAATATTTTTAATTTTTTAATATTTTTTTTAGTGACCGATTTTGGTCATTTAGTGACCGAAAATTCGGTCACTATTTGATGTTTTTGTTGTAGTGTATATCCACTAAAGATTTTACTCTCCTAGGAGTAAACTCTATTGCAAAATCTTATCGTTGTGCAAATGAAAGAATCATACCTAGATTTTCTGCTACTTCTTGAACTTCTTCTTGAGATTATTTTTCTGGAATAAAGATGTTGTTTCTCATGATTTTTTTCTTCCTTACAATCCCAAGAAGCACTATCATCAATCTCAACATCTCTATTGATGGTGAGATTCTTTATATACATGTTGTAAGCTCTATAGTCTTTTGTTTGTGTGTTATATCCCAATAAGATTTCTTGTATAATTGTCTTTTCAGTTGTGCATTTTCTGATCTGGCACATGTTTGTAATATGTTGATGCGAAAATGGTTAAGTGCTTAGTTAATGACTTTTGTCAGCTCCAAGCTTCAATTAGAGTCTTATCTTGAACTACTTTAAACTACTTCTTCCCAAAAAGCTTTCAATAAATTTGCTGCTCTAGCATTTATCTTGTCATCTTCATCACAATGAGATTCTTCCTTTTTGACATTTTATTGTGGTGTATATACAACTGTAAGTTGTCTTTCTATTTCTTCATCTTCATAAAACTTATCAAACTCATGTAAGTTATATTATTTGCCTTGATCAGTTTTTAAAACTATAATATATCTTCCAGTTTGGTTCTCTATGAGAACTTTAAACTTCTTCAATATTCCAAAACCTTCTTATTTTTCTTTGATGAATTAAACACAAGTCATTCTAGAAAAGTAAAATGGATAAAATACCTATTATTATTGAGTGATGGTTTCATCATAGGTCCACAAATATCTATGTGGATTAACTCAATAAGTCTTTTGCTCTCCATGCTTTATTGGTGAAAACTGGGTAGTATGTATTGTTTCGTGAGAAGACATCCTTCACAGTCTTTATTATTCTCTTTCAAGTATGGGAGACCTTTGATCATACCTTTTTAATATAATATCTTTAAGGCCAAGGTGTTGAAATGACCAAATCTCTGATGTCAAATCCATGAATTATCAACTTGAACTTTTGTGACAATATTGATAGTATATTTGAATATTATAGGAAAAGTCCTATTTTTTTTTCTCCATTTTAATTTCTCCTATTTCTCATCTTTTATTGTCATATATTTTGCATGTATACCTTTGAAGTGAAGAGCATAGCCTTTTTCCATCATTTGGTCCATGCTTTAGAGATTTTCTTTAAGATTGTGAATGAGCAAGACATCTTTAATAAGTCGGGTATTTTTCTTTGTTTCTACGCAAAAGTATCTCTTCTTTTAACTCCACTAGGGTGTCATTCTCCAATCCCTATTTTACTTTAACAAAGTCGTCAATATCCCTGAAGATGTTTTCATCTTTAGCAATGTGATTATTGCATCAGCTAACCAAGTTCCAGTGTGTCTACTTGTTTCATCACTAGAGTCTCAAGTAACACAAATAAGATGTTGCTAAAGGATATGCTCATTAACAAAATTTGCTTGATTTTTGTTTTTGTTG